TGGGTGATCTCAGCTGCAAACCCAAAGCCCCAGTTTTGCCAGTGGCCATTATGGGATGGCCACATGAGTGGGATTCTGTGTAATTCTGATACAGGCTGTCAAGGGAGCAGTAGAAGCAAAGCAACTAGTGTCATGCTCTGAACAGTCTTACTTTGCTCTTTAGGAGCATTTCTGTATCTCATATTAATCCACGCTTTAAAAAGTGGATTTCTATAATATGGAGTTTATAGCCCAACAGGAACCTTACAAACTTCACCAGGGACAAATGTAAACTTGTGTACTAAGCAGGGATCAAGGCCTGGGAATGAAGCAGGCTGGGACCTGACAAATCTGCTGAAGATGAGCTGAAGCACGCAGTGGAACAGGTTGCCCAGAGAAGATGGACTGACCCTGTCCATGGAGGCTTTCAAGACTTGTCCAGATGAAGCCTTGAGCAATAAGCCTGACTTTGCCTTTGTCACTGCTTTGCACAGGAGGTTGGACTAGAGACGGCCTGAAGTCCCTTCTGACATAAACTTTCCTGTGATCTTATGATAATATACTTAAAATTTATTCATCCTGGTCCTACAAAAAAAAAGGTAGGAACAGCTGGCAGTAAAATGAGAGTATTGTCAGTGGGTTTGTGAACTATCTTATTCTTGGTTTCTGAAAATGAGACTTCATTAACAAAATGTCACTTGCCTTTATTATTGCAAAGGTAACCTTTTGAAAATGAACTGACCATGAAATAACAGAGTAATTTCATCTAGAATCTGCAGATAATCTGAAATAATAATGCACAAGGGTATGAAATGCTTCTATTAATCTCTGTGGGATATTAGCGGTAAAACCCAATGATGGCAATTTGTATATAAGCATTGTAAATAATTTAGTATTACTTAAGGTTCACAAAAGAGAGAGTCACATGTATTATTAAAAAATAATCTGTGAATGAGAGTTCTCTACTATAATTAATATAATGGCTTTTATTCTAACAGGCATTCCGTAACATGTTACAGTTAAACAACAGTAATGTAGCAATAATATATAAATCTTAAAACTATGAACTACTGTGGCTAATCACCTTGTGGTGGGATTTAAGGTGATTTTAGCCTCCCACTTCAGGGATTACGAGCCTTATAAAGGTTTGTCCTTTAGATTTATCCAGTTGTGGTAATTATTTGGGAGTTGAAAGGACTCATTAGCAGTCCCTTCTCATCTCCTATGCTGTTCTGTAAATTAGCCACTGGAAATTTCTTTAAGGACCTTCGAATTCTTTCATTATCTAGCACAAAAGGTCATTTCACACAAAATGAAGTGCTCTGAGACCTGCTAATGTAAGGACATCCTGAACTCGTGAAGCTATTAAATCTGTTTTCACAATCTGTTTTCACATTTGGACGTTGTTTGTTTTTGAGGGCTCTCTGCTGCTCACCAGATGTTCTCTGTTATTATTTACCTGGTGACTGAATTTTTATGGTCCCTTCATAGAGGTCTTCACAAAATAAAAAACCATCCGCAAGTAAAAAAATCCCTTATTCTGTTCGTGCTTTGAGCTATGGTCATATTTGCAGACTGATAGCTTTGAAAATCAGCATCTCAGTAATACTTGTAAAAATGCAGCACCACCATCTATCTGCTTGTGATGACTATGTGTGAAACTGGGATCAGACTGTACTGCAATCATATTTTTCAACAAATATGCAAAATAAAGAGAAACTCTTTCTGTTTACAAGCACTAAATCCAAAGAGGGATAACTACCATTCCAAAATTTAGTCTGCTCAAGGAAGGCAAGAGCCCTCAAAATCTTTTCTAAAACCCTTTTCTCCACAGGGTTTACATATGAACCATCATGATCTGTTTGTGGGTACTGCGGGACAAAGCCAGCTCATGTAAAAACTTGTGCTAGGAACTGTCGTCAAGCTTGAAATTTCTTGTGTACCCATCATCAAATGTATTTGAAAGAAAGAGTCTCTGGTTAATGATGAGAGGAGAGCATACAAACTCTTTTTAAATCAGTCTGAACAAAATTTACTTTCCATTTCTTACCGACTCTCTCCTTTCAGCCATTCATCTCATGGTTCAGCTTTCTGACTATTTTTTCTTTTGGGTTCCTGAGTTACAGGTGTCAGCCACAGAGAGAGAACAGCAATCCCTGCTGGAAATGGCTTGGGAATACCATGGAGGAAGCAGGAGCATTGGTGAGATTTTGAAGATGGAAGAGTGAAACATGAGGTGCTAAATCTGAGACTGTGGCTGCTAAAATGAGCTGGGGAACATCAGAGAGCAGGAATTACTGCATTTCCTGAGAGTGCTGCAGAACCTCTGAGCCTTTTATTTCGAGTAGTAGAAATCCACATGGGTCTCAAGAAGCGTTAAAATAACAGGTTTTGAAAGCAACAGTTTTTCATAAAGGCAAAAATATATTTTATATGTATCCTATGCTCTGTGTTTATCTGGTTTGCCCATTCCAGGTCCCTTGAGCAGATAATGCTGCAGGTCTCAGCTCCCACACCCTCCGCCCTCAGCTACCTCACCTTCCATCCTGGCTGCTGTGCTGTACATCATTTCAAAGGGGCACAGCTGGGTGCTGGACTGTAATTTCTCATGCAGCTCAGATCAAGTCCATTAGTTTATTTGAAGGTTAGGACCAAGACCATGGAAGTGCATGAGGAGCTAATAGACAGACTGGTGTTCCTGCTGTGCTCACGGGGGCTTAAACCAGAGAGAAAATAGTCAGGCACATCCATATTATTTTCACCTTTTGCTTCACGGTTTGCAGTAGTCTCATTCATAAATGACAAAGAAACAGCTCCCTGCTGTGAGGTCCTCATACCACAGAGAGCCATAATGAGTTTGTAACGAGATAGAGATAAGGAAGATTTTTTGTGATTACTCAGACAAATCTCTGAGTGCAAATCAGAGATGTGCTGAGTGAGGGGATGTCTTTCCATCACTCTCCATGGCTTAAGCATCTGAGGATACTTAAGGTATTCTCATGGTATTATGTAAGAAGAACTCAGTAAGATAAAAATGTTCTAAATGCATCTTTATGGATTTCTTGCCTTCTCTGTATCTCAGAATCTTTTGTAATTTGACAGCCACTAGCAGTGATTAATGGCTAGCAATATGGCTAGGGGCAATGTATGTTTCAAAGTCAGTATCAGGAAAGCCTCTGTGATCTGGGAAGTCTTTGGCTGTGGAACTGTCTCCTTGTAAAATCAGAAACAAGTGTTTTGCCTGTGTGCTACTTGAAGAGCTGCAAATAAATAGCTGAAATATTAATGAATATGAGAGTGAAAACAGGGGAATATTCACCTTGGAGTGTTGTTTCTGTTTCAGTCTTTTATGATAGCTATAGTAAATTTATATTTTTCATACGTATGCATATATATTTGTGGAGGTGCATACATATAAGTGCTCCAGAAAGAAATTTTTTATTTTCATTTTCTTAGAAGCATCAGGTGTTTTCAGTGTTGAATCTTAGCATGGGTAATATATATCCAGATATTAAAGTAACCATGGCAAAATAAATAAATAAATATTTCCAAAGATGATGCCGGTACGTCATTTACTGCTCTTTTCAAAATGTGTGGCTACGAACAAACCATTCACAAGTATATGCTCTACAGGACTTCAGGTACAAAAAATTTAAAAGGTCAGATAATTACAATAAATAGGTTTACTGCATCCCTGTATAACATAAATCTGACTTCTATTTGCCATGTTCTGTCTTGCTTAATTAAAGCATCAGACCACACGTACAGTCTGGAGCAGCTCAATTATGAAAGGTTAGATCCATTAGTTTATTCCTGATTGGTTTATTAATTACTGGCCTTGACTCTTGATTCAAATCGTCACTCTTTCCTCAGGATAAAAGTGCATATTATGTTAGAAATAATATACTGTACTTTTAAACAAAAATATATTGGAAACATTTACAAAGAAAGCTTCCACTGGACTTGGCTTTGATGGAATTATGTTCTCTTATGCCATGAAGTCTGACTTTCACAGGTGACCAATGGCAAAGTCTAAACAGTGTTGTTACTGAATTCCTTTAATCCATAAAAGGAATGAAAAAATGCTGTGAGCTGAAATTCTGTTTCAGTTTTATAAGGATGTTTCAAATACATTACTTTCATCCATGGTTTTCAAGATATTTTTAAATGGGACTTGTGATGGTTCTCTGGTATTTTCTCATTAAAACTTTTTGCTTGCAAACCTGCTGTACTGTGCCAGCTGATGTGCTCCAAAGAAGTGGAAGAACTTTTGATGTTAAATCTAAACCAGATCTGCAGAAACAGCTATGTTGTGTCTGGAGAAACTGTGGAGGCTGCTAAAGACAAGATATGAGTGGATCCATCCATTAAAAATAAGAGAAGGCAGCAGCTTGCTCTTCCTTTATTATTTTACATATGCACTTCAGCAATTTAGATATTGCATATACCTGAAAGCAGTGGCAGTTAAGAAAGGTTTTATTTATTTACTCCAGCAGTAGATGCCTTTTTCACCTGATGGGAAAGGGCAGATTGATCCTGCTTTGCTGAGCTACTCTGCTTTGGTTCATGAGCTGGGTTCCTGTCCCCTCTGCTTCAGAGGACGGACACTCCACCGCTGGTCCACCCACTGTGCCTGGGCTACGCTTCACCCGCTTTAGCTGTCCCTGAAATGGAAAAAAACCCAAAAAACTTAAAAACCCCCCATCAAAGCACTTCAAGTTTAGGCACATAATTATCTTCTCAAGATCTGGCCTGAACTGATCCCAGCCTACGCTCCTTCCTCTCACGCTGTCGTGACAGGATTTCAGTCAGAAACACGCGGCTCTCTCTGACTGCGGGCGCTGGAGCGGCGGCGGGAGCCCCCCGCCAGCCGCGCAGCGCCGGGCCCCGGACCCCAGCGCATCCCGCCCCTGCCGGCCGCCCACCGCGGGGCGGGGATCGCGCCCGGGGGCCGGGCGGGCCGGGCCGGGGGCGTTGCGGGGGTCGGGGCGGGCCCGGGCGCGGCGCGGGGGGCGGCGGCCGCCCGGCCCCGGCTGCGTGAGGCGCTGCCCGCTCCGCTCGCCGCGCTGCCGCTCCGGGGGTGGCCGCTCGCCCGCTGGCACCTCTCGCCCGGCGGAGGGGGGCGCGGAGGGCTCTCCCCGCCATGGCCTTCACCTTCGCCGCCTTCTGCTACATGCTGTCGCTGGTCCTGTGCGCCGCCCTCATCTTCTTCGCCATCTGGCATGTGAGTACCCCAGCCCCGCGGCCCCCGCGCTGGAGGCGGCTCCAGCCCCGGTGTGGGGGGTCCCGGCGCCGTGAGGGAGCGGGGCAGCGGGGCGAGCTGAGGCGGGGTGAGCAGCCCCTCGCCCGGGCAGCCGGGGAGCGGCGTCCCGCGGCGGGGCCAGGCGGACGGGGCTTGACGTGAGACCTCTGCGCGGGGGACAGTGTTTATTACACTGATGTAAGAGCAAGGAGCCGCGGCCGCGGGTCCGTGGCAGCCCGGGGTCCGTGGCAGCCCGGGGTCCGTGGCAGCCCGGTCCCCGCTGCCGGGAGCGCTCCTGAGCGGGCCGGGCGCTGCCCCGGCCCCGGCTGCTGGCGGAGCTCGGCGCTGCCCGCGGCTCAGCGCCGGCCGTGCCCAGGCGGGAGGGAGCTGTCCAGGTAACATCGTCTGCTTCTCCTGCCTGCGAGACGGGCGCTGTGATGGGGAAACCGCCCCGTATCTGATGAAGCAGATACGGTGTTTTCTCTTCAGTAATTACTACCTTAATAACTTCCTTAAAAGTTGAATGAGAAACTCTCTCGTCCTTCTGATACATGACCCGCATATTGTGGTCCACCTTCGGTAATTTAACTCCACAGGGCTGGTGCTTGTTCCTTACTGCTCGCTGTATGTCTGTGGTAGGCGTAAACGTGTAACTCAGTAGATGTGAAATCATTCTAATGCATAGATTGCAATTCTTTGGAACTATTACATATTTTAGAATTAATTACACTTCATGTGTGCTACATGATAACTCCGTGCTGTAAGCATTCAGGATGGAACAGGATCAGTTGGAAAATAGAGCGAGTCTCACGGATGCTTCTACAGCTACCTGATGGAGTATGTTTAAAAGAAAAACCCTCCTTTGACTAACAAGCAAGGGAGCTGCAGAGTTTATTTTTATTGAAATGGAAGTACAACTGCTAGCTTAGTTGTATTTGCACACTGAAAGAAATCCTTCTGTTCCGAGAATGCTTTGAAATTTAAGTATTTTGTACTCTTCCTGGGATGTGTAACAACGTTACAAGTTGTTTGGCTCTTTTTTTTTTAAATTAAGGACACCGCCAAGGTGTGATGGTAGTGCCAAGTGCTGTTGTGATGTCAAGTACTGCAAGGCTGGAAAGGATCTCTAACAGCCAGCTACTGCACTACTCTGAAAAAAAAAGAGTAGTAAAATTTAGATTATTCCTCATGTTTTCTCTTCTCCTCTCTGCAAACCTTTAGGTCTCCAAAAGTGAGAACTCCACAGCTTCCTCAAGGGGCTTAGAGTTAGAAGTGTGTTCTCCTTTGAATCTCTAGCTACAAATTAAACTGCAGCAATTTTAATGGTTGTTTTATGTGTTTGAAGTCTGTCACTATGTCCTCTTCTCTTGAATCTGGAGTTATTGTTGTGTGAATTCATAAAGGACTTGTAGCAAATCTGACAAATTATTCTCCCATAAATGAGTGCAGTTACTGCAGATTTACTCTTAGTGAAACATTTTTTTAACTTTCAGTCTATAAACTCATTAAGAGCAGTCCCTCAGTACAAGAGCTCTGTGCAAGTAACTAGGAAAGAAAACCTTTTCTCAATACACCTATGTTTATGCTGCATGTTTCTTACATCTGTTTAAAAATTGTTGAGGAATTGAAATGGAAAATGGCTGGAAATGCTCTTCTGTTGCAAGAGAGAAAGAATTGGCACTATCTTTTCTAGTAAATAGAAAAATTCTATTAAAATATGTGATTTGTGAAGGAAGGTCATAGAATAACAGATTTAACACCCTGCCAAAATAAACTTTTAGGCGTCCATGTTATCCACGTACACAGAACACAAGGATTTTTATTATCCTTTCTGTAAGAACTGGTGCAGTCTGGTTTCTTCTGTAAGTTATGTATTGAGTCATAGGAGTTTCTTTTACCTTAAACATCTCAGTTGTGAAAATCTTCCCAAGAAACAAAACTCCTACTCCTTCCCTGTGACCTGATTTTTCTTCCACTATAATATACTGGTAAGGGACAGTAAATATATTGTACGTAGGTTCTAATAATGGCAGAGGAGTGTTTCAATAATTATATTATCCTGTTCATTTTTTTTAAGAAATTCTGTTGCTAAGAGTAAGTTGATGAATAATCTGAGCATTCCATCACTTTGGAAGATTTCTGAGAATAAGAATTTATATTTTGTACATTATTTTAAAGCATAAGAAAAACTGTAACATTTGACTTGGTGTTTTTCTAACCTGAAGCTGAATGAGGTTTGGACATATATCTGGAATGATTTAACAGTGGATCAAATAAAACTTAATTTTCTTCCTTCTGGCAAGTCAGATGAATTTTGAGTTTCATTCATATTGATGTAATAAGTTTAATAAAAACTGTACAACCAAAATAAGAGAGTAAGATGAGGATTTTTACTTTTGGACACTGTGACTTTCTGGTACCTTTCCTCTAAGAAGTTAAACACTGTTTATACATTCCTATGCTCTTTACTCTTTGGAAGGACACAGAATGAAGCTGGTCAGAGCATTTTAAAGGATTTGCAAACAAAATTAACACAGTCCTCCAGATACCTGGAATATATTATAATTTTTTTCCTGCCTCTGAGTGATTTTCTTGTATAGGTAGCCAGAGGTGCCTGTCATAAAAAAGCTTCCCAATAAAACCAAATTAGATATTATCAGAAACATTTGTTTAAACTCTGCACAAGAATTATCTTACTGTATTATTTCTGTAATTTCACTCATATATATTAAATGGAAGAAAAGGACTTGAAAATCTTCATGTACTACATTAAACCAATGTGACACTCTGTGGTACAGGAATTTTTACAGCATTTAGGTTGTTCAGTGACCACATTACCTCTAGGTGTAATGTCACAGTATTAGAAAAACCGTATAGAAGTGCATGATAAAACTAACAGCAGAATTTGGTCTGCTAACTACATAATTTGATCTTGTAAGCTCAAGATCCTCATCTGATCTTGTAAGCTCAAGAACAGTGTTAGTCTTCCTGCTATCACAGACACTTTGTTTTGCTGTCCTCAGCTCTTTTTCTTCTTTATATACAGCTTTTTACTGATCAGTTTTATTCCATTCCTAAGTGATCTTGAACTAAGATTTTAGCTTCTTGTTAACATTGAACTGAGCCATGTCAAGTCTGTTTGAACTCCTGACAGGACTTGACACAACACATTCATTTCTAGTGTAGCTCCACTAAGTTGTGTCTCAAGTGAAGTTAACTGAAGTTGACCAAGTTGTGCCTTATTTGTCCTCAGTTAAAAAGGGAAATGCTTGTGTTGAGTCCTGCAGCACTATATTCTCTTAAGCATATTGGTTTTGAGTAATCTGAGTCCTTCTCTTCTGGTGATATTTTAAGATGAAAAGACTTGCTTTGCGATTGGTTATTTGAAGGAAAGCTTTAAGAAAAGAGCCTTTCAAAGTGGTCCATTTTATAATGCCACAGCAGAACACTTCATAAGTACCAAGAACATTGCTATTAAAAAGAAAATAATTTCCATGGTGGACCATCTCTTTTTCAAGTTGTACAAGCATATCTTTGCATGTGACTGCTTCATAACCAAAGGATTGCCAGAAAGTATCAGGGGTATCATGCCAGAGAAAAAATTGGCAGTGCCAGCCTGAGAAGCTGTACCACACTGGGTGCTTTTTGGAGTATTTTGATGTAGTTATGAATGCAGGTAAATCCAAGAACAGCCCTTTGGTACAACAAGAGTGGTATGTGTTGAAAGTAATGGCAGCTACTTGTATAAGGAGAATAAAGTATAAGGAGAATAAAGCAGTAGAAGATGGAGCTTTTTTGGTTTATGCCCCCCACACCACCTTACTCTTCTTTTGAAGTGTGAGGATAGTATTAATCTCGATAAACTACCTTAATATAACTTCAGCTTCACTTAACGGTTACAAGTTCGCAAGTATAATTAAAAACAGTGGTAGGCTGTGACTGAACAGAGTAATATAGACCAATATTGACTTGTAGTTTTAATCAAAGCATCCTTTTTATTGCAAACACCAGGGAATTAAGCCCTTGGAATCTGTATTCAGTGTTGTTTCTGCAAATGGCTTTGTGTGTTATGTTTATCAGACACCTTAAGTTATATATGCCTCGTTCTCTCATTTGCTAAGTGTGAGTAATGGAACTAAACTGCAAGTACTGCCTGTCACTTTATTTAAGACTATTCCTAAAACATCTTTGCCTTCTGACAGAAAATGCTATACACATATAAGATGTTGTCACTTCTGTTTTTTGTCACTGTAGTGTCCTGGTGATGTGGTCTGTGTTTTATTAGCACAGTTTCAATAGTGCAGGTAAAAAATTTGAAAGCTCTCAAAGAGTTATGGATGTAGAATTTGATGACTATTTGGTTTTTGACTTACGTAGGCTTTCTCATAAAATTCCTAGTGTATTTTTTTTTTTTTTTGATAAATTGTACAGCCTTAATTTTGAAGATACATGAAAAGCACATAAGTTTGGCTTGATAGCAAATTCAGTTGAGCAAAACACTTTGGTCACAAACTGTGTGCTGATCTATCAATGTTCTCTGTGTATCTGTGTCTTTTTGTTTCTGTAACTTAGGTTTGGAGGAGATCTCTGCCCTACCTGAAACCTAGAAAGAGATCTATGATCTGACTTGAACCTGTGCTTCTCTCCAGTGAAGGCTATCAATCATCTCAATTTAACCTCTTTGCAATGCTTTAGAGCCTGTCTTGAAAAGAAAGTGATTTCCTTACAGACTTCTGGTCAAGCCTGAATTCTTTACAGATATTGAAGTTCAGTACTGTTCTTTAATGAGTCATTAATGCATTTCTCTGAGAATGTTGGATAATTATGTGCTTAAAAATAAAATCAGATTAAGGCTTGATGAAGGGGAGCACAATTCCTATTGCTGTGTGTTATACATATTTCTTGAAAATGTCTTTTCTTGACTAAGCAGCTAAGCCCATTGTCCCTCAAGGTTTTATAGTCAGGACAGTTTAAGGAATGAG